TCCAACCAGTCAGGTTGTTCTAACTAGCCAGGCAGCTCTAACTAGTAGGGTGTGTCACAAGCGTGCCGGTGAGTGAAACGGAGGTGAGGATCCACACGCGGGTGAGGAAGGAGGCAGGCAGGCAGGCAGACAGGAACATTTAAAACAAGGATTTAATAATGAACATGTAGGACAATGAAACAATGAGCCAGCAAGAGACACAGAACTGAAGGGGTTTAAATACATGAGGACTGGGAGCTCGGGTGATTGGAAAACGAGAGGCAGGTGGGAGCAATTAACAAAGACACATGACTGAACAGAATGGGGAGACAGGACAGGGTGTGACAGTACCCCCCCCCCCCCCCAAAAGGGCGGATCCCAGATGCCCATAGGAACACAGAGCAGGGCGGGAGGAGGGGGACCCGGAGGGAGGGCCGAGAGGGACCAATGGAGAGGATGCAGGGACCAGTAGAGTCCGGGGACCTGCGTCTGGGGCAGAGGAGGAGGCGACGACGGGCTCTGGGGGGCCTGCATCTGTGGCAGAGGAGGAGGCGACGACGGGCTCTTGGGAGCTTGCATTTGTGGCAGAGGAGGAGGCGACAATGGGCTCTGGGAGGCTTGCGCCTGGCAAGGGCAGGACCGGCGGTGACCGGAGGCAGAGACGCTGCAGGAGATGTCCTTGACTTCTGGACTGGAAGGAGCATCGACCTCTGTCGGCTTCTGGTTTGGAGGCGCCGGCTTCTGGACCGCAGACTTCTGGACCTGGACCGCTGACCTCTGGACCTGGACTGTTGGCTTCTGGTCCGGAGGCGCCGGCTTCTGGGCCGCCGACTTCTGGACCTTGACTGCCGGCTTCTGGTCTGGGGGCGTCGACTTCTGGACCGTCGACTTCTGGACCGCCGGCTTCTGGCCTGCCGGCTTCGGGAGTGGAGGAGGAGCTGCTGCAGACGGGACCGCTTCCTTGGCTGGAGCCGCCGGACTGGGCTCTGACATCTGGACAGGCCGGCCCGGGGGAAGAGCCCCTTGGGTCACCGCTGGAACTGGAGCTGACTTAACCGGTGGCGCCGGAAACTGGGAGAGCAGGGAGGATAGATTGTCCAGCTGGAGCTCCTGGAGACTGAGGCTCTGATGGAGCTGGGCCAGCTCAGCTCGGAGACCAGCGAGCTCTGCTGGGTGGACTGCGGGCCCGATCCCCTGGCCTGGAGACGAGGGAGCTGCTGACTGGACCGAAACCTTCTCCTGGTGATTCGGGGAGGATAGGGTGTCCAGCTGGAACTCCTGGAGGCTGACGAGCTGACGGATCCGGCCAAGCTCTGCCTGGAGGCCGGCGAGCTCTGTCTGCTGGGCTGTAGGCGTGGTCCCTCCACCTGCATATGACTGAGGCACTGACTGGACCGGAGGCAGGACCGCAGATCTGATTGGGGGCGGGTCCAAGCTGGTGCGCCGAGCCGGGGCAGCGGCGAGCTCGCGGCTCTGTCCTGGGACAAGTGGTGACGGTGGAGCCCGGCATCCTTCCCAACACCGTGGGCCAACTCCGGGGTAGCACACAGCCAGTCTGGTGCCCAAATAGCAGGAGCGGTCCATCTGCGCCTCCCCGTCCAACTCTCCATCCGGCTCCGGGAGGGTGGAGAGGATCACTGAGGCCCGGGCTCGGCCGCGGCGTCTGCGGCGAGGCGATGCCGGAGGAAGGGGAGCCGGCCGGTGGTCCGCGGTGAGACACTGGAGCAGGTACTCCCAAGGGATAACCTCCCCGCTGGATCCTTCTGTGGGTTGGCTCATTCTGTCACAAGCGTGCCGGTGAGTGAAACGGAGGTGAGGATCCACACGCGGGTGAGGAAGGAGGCAGGCAGGGAGACAGGAACATTTGAAACAAGGATTTAATAATGAACACAGGACAATGAAACAATGAGCCAACAAGAGACACAGAACTGAAGGGGTTTAAATACATGAGGACTGGGAGCTCGGGTGATTGGAAAACGAGAGGCAGGTGGGAGCAATTAACAAAGACACATGACTGAACAGAATGGGGAGACAGGACAGGGTGTGACAGGGTGGCTCTAACTAGTCAGGCAGTCCTAACTAGTCCGGCAGCTCAAACTAGTCAAGTAGCTCTACCTAGTCAGTTAAGCAGTTATGTAGTTAATCATTTATGTAGGTCTGAGCAGTCAAGTAGCCCTCAGTAGTTGGGCAACTCTAACTAGTTGAGTAACTCTAACCAGTCATTTAGCTGTAATTAAACAGGTAGCTCTAACTAGTCAAGTAGCTCCAGCTCTAACTGTAACTCATAGTTTTGCATCATATTTATTTTTAAGCACTTTCATTGCTGAAGTATCTGAACTTAGACTAACAGGAGTCTGTGTCATAAAATAAAGACGATTAGATGAACCAAAAACGACCGATGCATCTACTAACGTATTAACAATGAGCACAAAAGAACATAGCATGAAGGTTTTGGATGAAAATGAACCTCGCTGGCAGAAGAAATGCACCCTGCATGACCACATGAACATGAAGAGGCTCCAGACGACCCCAGCTGGATGCGTAGTGCTCAGGGTCGTCTTCAGGAGGTTTTGGCTTTTGGGCGTCAGCTGTATGAATGTATTTAATTAGCATGGATGTTAAGACACGTATCAGTGTTTTACCCCCAACCATAATTATTCATCCAACTCAAACTATTCCAGTCTGGAGCGCTGTTCGGATCAGCACGAAGAGTGTTTGGGTCTCAGCTGATTCACTGCCACAGCAGAAGCTTCATTCTTTCATCCAAATTTCAGCTTTTAGCTCAAACTTCACTGAAGGCAGTTCAGAAGCAGCAGGATCATCCCAATCACACTACCGACATGTTCTGCTTTTGTTTACATGTGCTTCCTTTTTTAATTAACCCCTGATGTGAAACACCCAATGAATGAATGAATAAATGAATGAATGTGCAGACTAATAAGAAGTGTGATATAAAGCCTTAGGGACTGCCTGCCAGCATCACTGCAGGACACAAATGATGAGAATGTGTAAGTTGTAAACACTCCAGTCTGAATTTAACGGAGACTGGAACCATCTCCAGCTCTCATTTGCAGCCTGGAAGCCATCTTCAACAACTGAACCCTCCGCTGGGCTCTGGGCGGTCTCGGGCCACAGACGTCTGTATCTGCCTTGGTGTGAGTGGCTGTGGGCGGGGCCTGAGGGCTCACAACTAGAGTTGCAGGGATTAACCGCTTTTTTTACCTATTAACCCCGGTTAACCACCTAGTTTAAATCAGCTGCTCCTCATGTAGAGACAGGCAGCTGCGGTGAAATAATGTAAACATTTTCTATTTGCAGTGAAGATAAAGAAGCTTTTCCATGAGAGGTTTTCCTGGCCACCAAGCATCCTACTGCCTGAGATGATCCACAGATTGAGTTTCACTTCCTGCTTGATCCCAGGAGGAAGTGTCATTT